GGCCGGCGAGGGGAGGGTGGGGTTGACGACCTGGCCCTCCCCACCGCACCCCACCCTGACTCCCCCACCTGCCGGGCATCCGCAGATAGGGCCCCGGTGGCTGTGTGTTGGTGGCTGGTGGCGAGGCTGGGGAAGCTCTGGGGTTTCTGGTGGCAGGATGTGGTGGGGGCCAGGATTGGACTCTTCCCATCCCCACCGTGTCCCGCCTGCTGAACTTCGACCTTTGGCCCTGGCTTGTGTCTGGTTCTTTGGGGGGCAGGGTGCAAAAGGGACTGGCAGGGGTGTGAAGATGGCTTTGGCCTGGGAAGTAGGTGGGGCAGGGCCCAGTGAGTGTGGAGCCGGCTGTGCTCGGTGCTCTGGTATTTTGTGTGCATTTACAAGTGTGCCGGTTCCTCACGGGACTGTGGCGTGAGTGTGTCTGTGATGAGCGGGCCTCTCGGCGCGTCTACAATGTGCCTGTGTGCTTGTTCATGGCGCTCAGCTTTGACGGTGTGTGTTTGTGCTAGCGGCCCTGTGTATGTGTGTGCGTTCGGTGTCTGTTGGTGTTTTATCTGCGGTATGCACGGGGGAATGTGTGAAGTTGCATGCATGTGTTTGGGTGTGTAAGAGTGTGCACCTAGGTATCTTTCACTGTACAGGTGAGTCTTATGTGTGTGAGCCGCTGCGTGTCAAGTGTGCAAGGGCTACGTAGATGCAGGTGTCTGGTTGTCTCTTAGGGGGCACGTGGGATTTTTTGTATCTGTACGTCTGTGAGTGTGCAAGAGATAGCCTCTGTGTGTGTGTGCGCGTGTGTTCGTGCGTGTGTGGTATATACAGCTATGTCGGCCTTGAGGGTGTGTGTCTGTCTTGGGAGTCCTTGCCTACTTTGGTCTCTGGGGACCAGGTTCTACATGGTTAGGCCTGTATGTGCAAGATACATGTATCTGTGCGATGGGCGCAAAACTGACCCTACTTCTGGGTCTAGCAAGTGTGGCCAGGGGCACGTCAAGGTGTAGTCTGTAGTGCTGGAACACAGATGTGACAGTACCCTGGGCTCAGTGTCCTGGAGGCAGGACACTGATAGGCAGCTCCCAGACGGGACTGGTGTGCCCCGTGAGCTTGGGCTGGGATCAGGTGGACCCTGTGGGTCCGTCGGTGTAAATGTGATGGCACTCATGTCTTCGAAGCTGGGGAGCCCTTACGAGAACTCCTGAGTTCTTCAGGATAAGGTGTCTGGTCCCGGCTCCCGAGCCTAGTAAGAGGAGCGTGGGAATGTAGACTCCCGGGCTGCCGGGAGGAGCGGGTGAATTCTGAACTCAGAAGCCAGCTGTAGCGGGCAGACGGGCCCAGGGCTCCTGACACCCGGAGGGCAAGGCTCCCATCCTGGACTCCTGGGCTGTGGAGGGTGAACGGTCCTGGGGCACGGTCTCCTACGGCTGGCTATGCTATAGCAGGAGGGACTCCCTTGGCTGGTGTGGGCTCCGAGGTTAGGAACTTTAGGAACCGCTGGTGCTAACTTCGCTTTGCTCCTTTGCAGGATCCGGCCCAGGCCCTGACTCTTTGAAGAGAGGTGAGTAAAGCGCCTCGGGCTAGGGAAGAGGGTGGGGTGAGAAGGCGTGCTGTGAGCCAGCCCAGGCCGGGGCTCCGCCTAAGGGGGGGTGTCCAGGGAGACAGGTGTCCACTCCCACTGAAGTGTGGAGATAAGCCTATGAGAATCGTAGTTGGGTAAAGGCTCATGACAGGGCAGCAGGGAGGCTCGGAGGGGCCTCAGATGTCAGGTCATGGCATCTTTCAAGATAGGTCAGGTGCTCAGGAAAGTAGAGTCCCCTTCAGTCAGTAAGGCTCCACGAGGGTTTCTAGGCCTGAAATAACCTCTGTCAGCTGGTGGTACAGGCCTGTCATCCCAGCACTCAGAAGAGAGTTGTGAGTTGGATGCCAGCTTGGGCTGTACAGTGAAACCCAGTTTCAGGAAGGGGAAGAGGAGAAGAAGGAAGAGGAGAAAGAAAGAAAAAAGGATGATTTAGCTTGCTTGTAGAGCACTTGCCTAGAATCCATCAGTGAGGGACTGGGGGGCGTGGCTTAGCTGTAGAGTATTTCCATAGCATGCACAAGGGCCCTGGGTTCCATTCCCAGAATCTCTCTCTGTATCTTTCTCTTTCTCTGTCTGTCTGTCTGTCTCTCCCCCTCTCTGTCTCTCTGTCTCTCTCTCAGCATCATCAAACATTTATGTGGCATTTATGTAGTCTGAGGCTAAGCTAACCGTGTCACTAGATATTCTCACTGAGCCTTTCTCCGAAGTACTGTGAGGTAGCTGGGTGCCATCATTGTCACAGGTGAGCACAGGGAGACACAAACAGGGGATGCCACTTCGCCGGAGCAACACACAACTGGGACCTGGGCTGTGCCCCCTGGCAGGGGGATGGGCTGTGACTGGTGGTGCCGAGAGGCCTTTGGGTAATCCCGGGCTGTTCTCATCGAAGCTGTCTTACCAACGAGTCCCCGCTGCTGTGCTGTGTGAGGACAAACTCCGCCCCTGTTTCACAGAACAGGGTTCTGGGCCCTAGAAACCCAAAGCAAGCAGGTGCCCTGCCGGAACCCCGAATAGTGGAGGCCGGGGTACAGGACAACAGCCTAGAGGGAGTGGAAGGCAAATTTGGGGTGGGTGCCCAGAGCTGCTCGGCTGCCCTGGCTCTGCCTCAGTTTCTCTCTTCAGCCCCACTCCTGTCTGTCTCTTTCTTCCTCCTTTTTGCTCCCCTAACTCTCTCTTTCCTCTGCTTGCCTCCTCCCCCTTCTTTCATCACTCTGCCTCAGTCTTTTTTCTGTGTTTCCTTCTTTTGCTTTTTCTTTGTTCCACTGTTACCTGTCTTCTCATCTCCTCCTTGGTTGCTTGAGAGAGGGTTTCTATGTGTAGCTCAGGCTTGTCTACATCTCTCAACCTCTTGAGTGCTGGGATTATAGGTGTCTGTCACCATACCTGGCTGTCCCCTTTTGGCAGTGCTGGGAGGGAACCCAAGGCCTCAAGCATGTTAGCCAAGCATGCCACCCTAAGCCACACCCCAGCCCCTTACTGGGGATTCTAGGCAGGGGCTCTACCACAGAGCCACACCCCAGCCCCTCACTTTGGGGTTCTAGGCCATGTTTTGCTGAGCCATACCTGGAACCTACTTTACCCTGGGAAGCTCTTTCTCTTTTGCTCTGCTCTCTTTCAGTTGTTCTCTCTACCCGTCCACTCCTCCCCACTTGGCTTCTTTCTGATTCTCTCAGCCTTTCTCGGTCCCATTCTCCTTCCCCTGGGTAAAAAGATCAAGGTCACGTATGGCTGCTGCCTCACCTAGATTCCTCGGAGGTTGGTCAGCAGGGGCTGGGGTACAGGGCAGGGTGGGATGAGAGCAGCCTTGAGGACGCCCCCTTCCCATCCTTTCCTCTTTAACCCCCCTCCCACCCTGTGTTTTGATGGGAAGTGACATGTCCTGGGCCGCAGCTGCTGGAGGGGAATCCCCGCCGGAAGGCTTTGCCTGGAGCAGAGCATAGTGTGTGTGCACACGCGTGCGCCTGTAGGCATGTATGGGCCTCCTGTGTGTCTACCGCTGGTGCTAGGCAGCCCAGCTCGGGAGCCCAGAGCAGCCTGGAAAGGAGCCGTGCTCAGAGGAGGACCTCCTCAGACCGAGATGGGAAACTGGTGCTTTTTCTTAGCTCTTCCTTACCTCTTCTGCTTTTTGTTCACCAACTTAGGAAGGAGGCCGTAACGCTCACTGAGGGCTCCCTGTGTGCTAGGCCTCGCATTCAGTGGTTCCCATGGGTAAACTCAGTGAAGAGGGTATTGTTTTAATATACAAAGTGAGGACATTTTGGCCATTCTGGGTGTGGTGCCACACACCTGTAATCCCAGCACTTGGAAGGATCAAGGGTTCAAGGCCAGCGTCAACTGTATAGCAAGCTCTAGACCAGCATGCTGTATATACTATCCTGTCTTAAAGAACCAGATGGCCAGGCAGTAGCAGGGCACGCCTGTAATCCCAGCACTCGGGAGGCAGAGGCAGGTGGATCTCTGTGATTTCCAGGCCAGCCTGATCTACAGAGCAAGTTCCAGGACAGCCAGGGCCACACAGAGAAACCTGTCTTGAAAACAAAACAAACAAAATTAAAAAGAACAAGATGGGTGGTGGCGCACTCCTCTAATCCCAGCACTTGGGAGGCAGAAGCAGGTGGATCTCTGTGAGTTCAAGGCCGCCTGTGCCACAGAGTAAGACCCCATCTCAACAACAACAAAAGTACTGCCTGGAAGGCTTGGGCTACATCATAATACCACCATGCCTCAAAGAAGTGAAAAGTAACAACAAAAATTTTAAAAAGGAAGGAAAATAGAGAAACCATGGCCCAGGTGTGGGACTCATTACTGTGGTCTCCTAGAGTTGGTGAACAAGGGACCCAGAACTTTTACTTGACTGTGTTTGATTGTGAAGCACTTGCAGGTCAACAAGACGGCTTAGCGAGTGAAGGGGCTTGCTGTACAAGCCCAGCAGCCTAAGTTCGATTCCCAGAGGCCACGTGAGGATGGAACAAAAGAACCAGTTTCACAAAGTTGTCTTCTGACCCTGCCACACACGCACCCTATTAGTAATAATAATATTTAGAACGAGGGCGCTCGCCCTTACCGAGGCGCGCTGTTCCACGCTTGCCATCACCGGGCACGAGGGGCTGCTGCAGCTGATGATGGTCAGCACGTGCTCCGTCCATCCTGCCTGCCAGGCGCTGTTCTGACGGCCGTGCTCATGCGTGTACATCATCCTGACCAAAGTAAAAGCCTGTCTCCTCTCTCTGTTCTACAGATGAAGAAACCGAGATTCCGAGAGGTTCAGACGCTTGCCCGGGGTCACACAGCTAGTAAGTGCCACATCTGGAGTTTGAACTAAGAGTGTGTATTTGACATCCTTGGTCGTAAGCCTCAGCCACTGGCGGTTTCAGAGCATCTGATGGTCGGGGAGGTCATGGGGAGTTGGGGAGCCCACCGGCGTGGGAGGAGAGGACACTTCAGAGTAACTCAGGGCTGATCCGCCAATTACTGTGCAAAGTTTGTAATCGGATCTGGGTGTTTGGGCCCAGATCTGTGATCCTAGCACCTGGGAGGCATTATATGGGGATATTACGAGTTCAAAGCCAGCCTGGGATGTACAGAAAACGATTTCAGAAAAGGAAAGAAACACTGGGGGGGAGAGAGGTAGAGGCGGGCTGATCTATGAGTTTAAGGCTAGCCTGGCCTACAAGGCGAGCTCCAGGCCAGTCCAGGCTACATAGTGAAACCTGTCAAATAAAATAAAATAAACTGGAAGATGGCCACGTACGTACCCTTGTCCAGAACCCACCCGTCGGAAGCTGAAGGATCCAGGCTGACTTTCAGCAGCTCGTGGCGGGCCGCAGGCGTGGTGGGCCAGCCTGGCTGACCGTCTCCCTCCCGCCCAGGTCTCACCCGCCGCTCGCGCTGCCACGCCCCTGCACCATGGCTCCGGGCCCCTTCTCCTCCGGGCTCCTCTCGCCGCCGCCGCCCGCCGCTCTCCCCTTTCTCCTGCTGCTCTGGGCAGGCGCGTCTCGCGGCCAGCCCTGCCCGGGCCGCTGCATCTGCCAGAACGTGGCGCCCACGCTGACCATGCTGTGCGCCAAGACCGGCCTGCTCTTCGTGCCGCCCGCCATCGACCGGCGCGTGGTGGAGCTGCGGCTCACTGACAACTTCATCGCCGCCGTGCGCCGCCGGGACTTCGCCAACATGACCAGCCTGGTCCACCTCACCCTGTCCCGCAACACCATCGGCCAGGTGGCGCCGGGCGCCTTCGCCGACCTCCGCGCGCTGCGCGCCCTGCACCTGGACAGCAACCGCCTGGCCGAGGTGCGCGGGGACCAGCTCCGCGGCCTGGCCAACCTCCGCCACCTCATCCTGGGCAACAACCAGATCCGCAGGGTGGAGTCGGCGGCCTTCGACGCCTTCCTGGCCACCGTGGAGGACCTGGACCTGTCCTACAACAACCTGGAGGCGCTGCCCTGGGAGGCGGTGGGCCAGATGGTGAACCTCAACACGCTCACGCTGGACCACAACCTCATCGACCACATCGCCGAGGGCACCTTCGTGCAGCTGCACAAGCTCGTGCGCCTGGACATGACGTCCAACCGGCTGCACAAGCTGCCCCCCGACGGGCTCTTCCTGCGGTCCCAGGGGGCGGGCCCCAAGCCGCCCACGCCGCTCACCGTCAGCTTCGGGGGCAACCCGCTGCACTGCAACTGCGAGCTGCTCTGGCTGCGGCGCCTCACCAGGGAGGACGACCTGGAGACGTGCGCCACGCCCGAGCACCTCACCGACCGCTACTTCTGGTCCATCCCCGAGGAGGAGTTCCTGTGCGAGCCCCCGCTCATCACGCGCCAGGCAGGCGGCCGCGCCCTGGTGGTGGAGGGCCAGGCCGTCAGCCTGCGCTGCCGGGCCGTGGGCGACCCCGAGCCCGTGGTGCACTGGGTAGCCCCCGACGGGCGGCTGCTGGGGAACTCCAGCCGGACTCGGGTCCGCGGGGACGGGACGCTGGACGTGACCATCACCACCCTGAGGGACAGCGGGACCTTCACCTGCATAGCGTCCAACGCGGCGGGGGAGGCCACGGCGCCCGTGGAGGTGTGCGTGGTGCCGCTGCCCCTGATGGCGCCCCCGCCCGCCGCCCCGCCGCCCCTCACGGAGCCGGGCTCTTCGGACATCGCCACACCGGGCAGACCCGGTGCCAACGACTCGGCCGCGGAGCGCAGGCTGGTGGCCGCTGAGCTCACGTCCAGCTCCGTGCTCATCCGCTGGCCAGCCCAGAGGCCGGTGCCCGGCATCCGCATGTACCAAGTGCAATACAACAGCTCTGCGGATGACTCCCTGGTCTACAGGTGAGTGTGTCCCCTCAGCTGCCCTCCCACCTCCCCCCCCCCCCGACCTTGCTTAGTTCAAGCTCTGGGTGGGTCTGTAGTTGCCTACATTTTTTTTTTCCTTTGTGTTTCTTGCACTTAGGAGATGTTTGTGGAACACTTAACATGAGCCCCAGTGCAGGGCCAGGCAGTGGAGTTACAGCAGGGAGCAGGGCCTGGGGCTTCAGGCGTGTTATTCCAGCCTTTGAGAAGCCGAGGCAGGAGGATTGCAAGGACAAGGCTGGCCTGGACGACTTGGAGACACTCTGTCTCAACCTTCAAAAAGTAGAAAAAAAAGAGGGCTGGAAATGTAGCTACGTTATAATGAGATAGAGCCTTGTCTAGAATCCCCCAGTGAGGGGCTGGGGTGTGGCTCAGTGGTAGAGCC